CATGCTGTTTTTCCATCACTATGACTATAGTTACTGCTGCTCCCACCTACACATATTGTGAGCAACAGAAACAAGTGCAGGTAATTTCTGTGTTGTAGCAGTAATTCTGGGAAATTGCTAACTGATATAAAAGAAAATGAGGCAGGTTAAGGGGAAAAGAAATAAAGAGACAAAATGGTACCCACTACCAACATACTCAAGGCTATATAAGGAAAATCAATATTCCTAGAAAGATGCACATGCACAAAATCAAGCATATACAGAGCCCTCCTCAGCTGCACAAAATCCTCCTTCCTCACATCTGTTCTAGACCTAGACAACTGCTTGGTCTGTAGCTGCCTTCCGCCACTCTCTCTATTTAGATGCCTGTTATTAAATTTGCAGCGTTTGTTCGCCCCAGGGAGCAACCGAAAGCATGAACGCATTTCCCTTGGATCATGTTCCAGAGTTAGTAATTGCCAAAGCAATTGTTATTTAAGTGATGCTCAAGGAACAAGGGGTGGCGTACTGCTGCTGTTTTCCACTATTGTTAATATTTTAATGCGCTGCCCTACATTCTGCTGGGACTGAATGACTCCGGTGTTGTGAGACAATAAGATAATACTGTCTTTTTGGGGATCATTTTGGGATCTTGAAGTTTTCACCACATTGATAGCCCTCTAGCTAACAGGGATTTGGATGGGAATTGTTACCTTTTCCTGTTGCGATTATTTTTCCGGGACAATATAACAAACAACGTATTGTTATTCAAAGAAAAAACACAAGAGGCTACATAATGGCATTCCACATGTTGAGATTAACTGACTCAAGTAAGTGCTGATCTAAAATTTTAAAATCTGAATACACTCTTTGTGCCTTTTGTGAAACACCATTTACAGCTAATCAGAGTTGACTGTCCCTCAAAGCAAACCATCTGCCAAAACGGATTTGTGTGTAGTGGTGGACACAGCCTTTTAGATGCTGCACTCAAAGACATTTATGTCTAATGTCACTGTACTGTAAGTGGACACAAATCAAAAATGTCAGAGCTCATATGAGCGGCACATACAGTACATCTGAATAACCTTTCTCATTGTGCTAAATTAACTTAAGGGTAAATGGCACTAATGAATATGTGGTACATTAAAGTCAAGGTTTTCTATCCAATTTTCCATTTTTTGTACGTTCGATCACCTTTTAGAAGGTATGTCTTCATTAATGCATTTCTTCACCGTGTTGAACTTGCTTTTGCTACTGATACTGTTAATGCACTCTTTGACTGATGGAATTAATGCTGCAAAAATGTACATTGTACTGAATTGGTTAAGAGCTGTAATTAATTGTATTTTTAAACCCAATTTCCCATTATTTAGTAGAGTCAGTCATTATTTTAAAAATAAGTCTGCTGATGCTTTGTTCAGTTTGTTTAGCCAAATGATGGCCAGACCCACATGGGTCTGGGGGTGTATTTTTTAGAAGCACAGATTCTACTGAATGATCATAGAAATATCACAGGAATACAACAGGCAGCAGTGTTTCTGAGCTTCTCAATTTTTACTATACATTGCTACTTTTCACTTTGATCATGAAGATGATTCTACATCCACGATGAAACTGACAGAAGGGTGGGACTGAGAGAGAAGCGCAATTACAAATCTGTCTACTACTTCAGCACCACGTACAGTGTCATGGATTCATCAATACACAGCACAGTTAGCTACTAATTTTTTAAAGCCGTTGTCAGGGCCATAGATTCAAATTTGCACAAACCATAGTCAGATAAAGGATAAATGAGTCAGGTAGATTAGACTAATCATAGTCTATTCACATACAAATAAATAACCCCATCCGCCCCTGCAGTCACTCTGCTCCTTTAATCTGCCATCCTCCTCCTATTCTTTAGTAGCAAAGTGTAAGATATGGCCTGAATTTTAGTTCATGAATGTTAAAAATGTTCAAAAAAGGAACTAACATCATCAACAGAATGTGAAGAGGTTACAGCTATGTAATTAAATCAAAGATGGATGCATTGTGTTGCAGAGATATCAACTGAAATTAGCACAGTAATATGTCTAGCTGCGGCCCGTACAATGTTGATATACCACTTGTGCCTCGATATGCGATAGTGAGTCACTGTGGCATCCAGTCTGCCCTCAGGGCAACATGAGAGGATGAAGAAGTGGAGCACTGGGAGAAGTGGAACTGCTAGCTGACAGACAGCTGCTGCGGCCCGGGGAAGCTCTGGGGAAAGAAGCGGGGGCAGAATGGGAGGAATAGGCATACAAATGGAGGAATAAATCGCCGTAGTCACGCCGGATTCTGCTCTGATCCGGAGCCATTTATGGGTTGGAAAAGAGCTTAGAGTTTTTATTTTTTAAACTTTTGGAATTAAAAAGTGGATTTATCCTCACCTTGCTTCTCAACCTGTAACCTGTAAGTGGATTCAGCACAAATGATCCCGCAGTCATATTGTAACCACTTGGCAACTCATACGAGATGAGGCCAGATTGGAAGTTTGGAAAGTTCTCTACACTTTGCGGACATTGCAATTACGTGTCTAAATAAAAAATTATAAACATTGTCATCGCATTGAAAGTGGGAGGAGGTGAAATGCTGTCCCCTTTTTTGGAGTGCCCAGAAATTACACATTACCCCTCTAACAAGGGGAATGCATTTTGGTCATTTTGCTAACAAGGGGCTGGCACCTCCCCATTAAATCTACTACTGCGGCTGATATTCGACATTTTCTTATCAACAAATTAAATGAAGAGACTAAAACTAATTCCTCTGTACCAGACTATGGTTCAATGATGTAATAGTTTCTGGACAAAAATGGAACACATTATTACACTGCGTAACATATTTCTTGAATATGATAAACATGGGCACTGTAGTTCATTTCCTTTTGATCCCATATACAGTGTCCTGCTGCCTGGATTTCTCACTTGCATCAATCCGCCACTAAAAATACACTTTGATAAAAACTACTTTATCCAGCTGTTTTATGGGATAACAGCCTTTTCTAAACTGTTTAAGAAGTTTTAAAATAAATAATACTGCATTAATGTCTTTGATCAATGGACTTGCATTTGACATGATTGGTCAATATGTATTGAGAGACCGACTAACACATTCTTAGTGTTGCTCTCATTATTTGAATTGCTGACAACAAAAATTACAGTAAGAGAATCCATATCTGGGAGCTGCGGAGAACAGCCACAGTCTGACCAATGTGCAGGTGCATCAGAGATGTTTTAAGCTTCAGTGCCATGCTTAAGGATATTTTGGGCAGTCAGCTCCCAGCCAGCCAGTCAAACTGCAGACTCTCTTTGTACAACCATGTCTCTCTTGAGGGGCTGTGCGTCAAGATCATTCACACAGGGATTTAACAGTGGGAGATTAAGATGACCTATGGAGCATCCAGTAGCACAGACACTACAGTTTACTTTGTGGACTTGGTGGACCAGAGTCTTGTGGTACTAGATAAGCTTCTCTGAACCTTAATTTGTCTCACAATACGTTCTAGTACTTTCTACTCTCTTTTCTTTTTCATTAATGTTTCTCTTCTTCCGTCTCTTCTTCCTTTCTTTCTCCCCTGTCTTTCTTCCTCTCAACTCACTGAACCCACAATCACTAAACAGCTGTGATGGAGTCACTGTAACACTAGGGTTTAAAAGCCAAGATTCAAAGCATCCCCTTTACTTAACCCAGGTCTGTGTGGGATCAGACAACTCCTGCCCCACAGCTGTAGGGCAGGAGTTGGGGTAACTAGTACACCATGCTAGTTGTCAGAGTGCAAGCTAACCTGCTGCGCTAATGCTAATCAGGCAATGAAAGCACTACAGAAAGGGATGAAAGGGAATTCATTCATTCAACCAGGAGAATGAACAGATGACAGTGATGTGTAGGGGAGGAGTGTAGCTATGTGTGGTGCATGCATGAATAAGTATGGAATTATAGGAGTATAAGACACAATATTCCTGTGTTGGTGAACAGAGTACATGCAGGCATGGCAGTGTATAATTACAATCAGTGCTTTGTGTGAGACATGAAATCCATGTGTTTGGCTGATTGTTTGCATTCTGAGTGTCTACGTGTGCTTGAAAAGTGTGTATGAAATGGGCACCATGCAATTATAATTTATGCTTGTGTGACAGAATGAGAGAGAGTGTGTGTGTGTGTGTGTGTGTGTGTGTGTGTGTGTGAGTGACAGCGTGCAAGTGAATGAGCACAGCCTTATTAGAGCGCCCTGCAGACTGAGAGGCAGATTAATTGAAAATGCCTCAGATACCCAGTCTCAGCCATCACTCCCTCGAGAAAATGGACCTTCATAACAAAATCCCTCAAACACACATTCACAAACACACACACACACACACACACAGACACACACACACACACACACACACACACACACACTCATACCATTATGAATGCTACCCAGGCTCATGTTAGGGACGCACTCATGCAGAGCTGCACTGTCAGACATGACAGGTAATGTGAAAGCAGATAAAATGCACTCACACACATACATACAGAAAAGTAGACGAGCACTGAGAAACAAACACACACATAGATACATATGCACAGGATAATACTAATGCCAGTTCAATCTTCCAAAAGGACACACTCCTGCGTTTTTTTTTATGTCTCCCCTTAAAAGGGACTGGAAAACAAGGTCCTTGAAAAGGCCAGCGGTGACAGGCATATTATCAGCTCTTAAACACAGCTCTCAGGGTGTTTGTTGATAAATGTACCTGTATTTGTAAGTTAAAAGTGTAAAATCTACCGTCTACACAAACTTAAAAAGCATTAGCTGACCATAAATATCCACTTATAACTATACATTAGTTGATTAAAAATTGTGCTCTGGGTTAAGCTTTGCTTTGCAGACACCTCAATACAAATACAAAAGGGCTTCTTCAGTGGGGAAGTTGTAATATTAAATATATATGTGACCTCTCCGAGTTATAATTTTAAAAAGTCAGACAGACCAGAAGGACCCATGAGGACTCCAAATATGACATTCACAATAAGCAATTTCATTCCAACATACACAAAGATAACAGATTAGAACAGATCATGAGAACTATATCACTAGAAATACAAACAGTTGAGAAAAGGAATTCATGAATTATACAGAGAAGTAAATACATTACAAAAACAGAAAGAAGACATTTAGGCTGTTAAGCCTGTAAAGTTAATTTCTACAGATGTTTGGTTCCACTCCGCCTGTACACAAAAAAAAAAACACGCCGTTTTGGCACTTAAGACCATTTGTGTCTGTAAACGTGGATAGAAATATTCAGTCCATATTTTGTGTGGGCAGGTGTGAATATGGTATGTTTTGTGTGTGTAGGAAGGTGGTTGTGTGTATAGGTGTGTGTGTCTGTGTGTGCGTGTTGCTGTATCAGTTATGTGTGGGAAGGTATATGTTGTGTGTGTTCTCACATTTCATGTCCATATAGTGTAACTCTAATCTATTCAAACACGTACAGTATATTCATTGATTCTCTACATAAGTGTCTGTGCGTGTGTGGTTGTGTGAGAGTGTGTGTTTGTCACAGTTGGCCACCGGTAGAAACTCCTCCACTTTGTTGTATGTTGGATTCAGTCTTTCTCATTCGGCTGAAGAGTCAAATGATCAACAGATCAGCTCAACCCACATATGAATCAACAAATTAACGACTCAACCTCAACAGCAGACAGACAGCATTGTTTGTAGTTAAATCACAGTCCTGCTTTCTCTTTAGAGCCAGTAGAACTAGCCAGGGCCAAGGTCAACTTAGCTGGTCTCAAAGCACATAGGGGTGAATTCCCTGTGTAGCTTTCAGTTAGATACAAACATGTCTCTCAGGGGCAGTGCATCTCAGATGGTCATATAGTAGTCAAACACACACAAAATGTAAAAAAAAATAAAATAAAAAAGGAACCTGAATATATATATATACACTCCTTGACAGAGGTAGGCAATGACTATTCATCAATTCACGACCACAACATTAATGCTAACAAAATTACAGGCCAGATAACTAGTAATGGAACTGCAGTTTCTGTTGATATTTTTCATCTCCTCATACGAGTTCTCAGTTTCATTGTATTTAACCGCCTTCCCTGTAATTTCTTGCCTTGTTCATTGAGCTTCAGTTGACTGAAACTTGGCCGGACAAAATCTGTGCTTCTTGAAGGAGGGTTGTATTCTGAAGTGAGCCTGTCAAGCAGCACAATTTGCAAATACTGTTTTATCACTCCTGTACCATTTGGGTTGACATTTTCAACACTTGCCTTATTCATGTGTTATTAAGGCATAGGATAAACAAACTATATGAATTAAATTAATTGCTGATAACCTTTCTCAAAAAAGATGTTTGATGGAAGGAAATGTGAATAAAGCCCTGACTAGCCCTGGCCAGCCCTCCAGTCGAAAGCAGGACTGTCCCACCCTGTCACACTACAGCACAAAAATACTTATCTTCAAATTGCACCAAACTGCAGCTTCTGAAATGTATCTGATGTAAAAAGGTATTATATTTTACATGTTTACAACATAAATATATTATTCTCTTCAGCAGAATGCACAATTTTGTAAGGGTTGATAAATGTACCAGGGCAAAAGTGGAGATTAAATTCTAAGGGCATTTTGTTGAATTCCCCTTTATCACATAACTATTGTCCCAAGACTCCCATTTTCCTAACTGTTATTAAACTCTGAGATAAGTGACAACAAGTTATATTCTCAGCACTGGTTCTTGTGTTCCATTAACTTGTTAATGGTGAAGGGCAAAAGGGGATAGGAAGAGGAATGCTTCTGGGTTTACTCCTGCAAGTGAGAAACCAGCCTCTATCTGTTCAATGTTTTAATGCTTACAGCATTAAAACATGTCCATGTTTCAACTGCAGACCTTATTGTATGGATTTAGTTTAATTAAACAGGAGCAAGGAGACCTCTCTGGCAGAGAAACTGTAGACTTGCAATAGTTGCCTGGGAATGGCAGAGGTTCGCATTGAGAGCAACTACAATTCCAAAGGGAGGAAATCAAGGCAGTTGTTCCACGATTTTCCATGAATATTGATTTGTGTTTTTCAATAACCCTGAACTTCAAAAACGTATAAATTGAAATGAGAAACTAAACTTGTGTAGCAATGAGTCCCCAAGGCAGCCAGCAATATTGTTTAGAACTGTTTAAAACCTCCATTAGTTAGTTGGAGGCGTATGAGAACGAGAAAGATAGAAGTTTCAAAAGTGCGTTGCTTTTTCACCAGAAGTGTTCCGCCCAAAAGTACCTGTTAACCTCCAAGACCATAGTCTTGATGTTAACTGAAATTTATTGGCCAAAATCTGATGTTGTTGCTCTTATTTAACTCACATCTGTTTCCTTCATGACAGTGTGAACAGCACAAATCACATGGAATCTGATCTTTTCCAATTTGGATCTGGGCCACTCTCTAATTTGGTCCAAATGAAATACAGGTCTGATTTTTTGCAGTGTGACCCCAGTGTGAACAGACATATCAGAATTCATGACTTTTACATCACTCAAGATTGACAACATGCAGACCTGAGCAATACATCAAAATTGAGTGGTAATGCTTGCAGTGCGAACATCACAACAGACTCTTTGTGACCCCAAGTTAGGAAAACAGTGAATGGTTTTATAATTTTGGTCAGAGCAGACACCATGTCTGATTACCAATTCCAATCTACTTCTGGGATTCACAGCTCTGGACAGAGAGGGTTTGACTCCTTAGAGACTGCCACATGTCACGCCATCTCAGTTGTTCACTGTTATTTTTTCTTCTGGAAGCCTGACACTCCCAGTGATTCCTTCACACTGATTCATCATTTTCGTTAATTGGCCAGACTGGAGAGAAGACACACAAGCAATCCCTAAGGTACAGTATCTGTACATCCATCAGTCTCAACTTGTGGATTCTGGCCCCTGAGGACTCGAGTCAGACACCCCTCATTGTGAGGGAGGGAGATCAAAAGCATTGCTGTCAAGTGAAAATAACTTAAGGAAAGACAAGAAGTGCACTAGCTGAAGAAGAGGAGCAAGGCTCGGTCACTGTGGATGGAATGTATATTAAAACTGAAATGTATTGTAGCAGTAATATGTGCTTTTACACAAACAAAGCAGAATAAACTCTGCCTGGAGTGTTTAGATTTAAATAAAAGTGAGAGGGTTCAAACAAGAACACTAAACAGTACTGAGTAATGAGTAATGATCTTCACTGAAAATTATGACAATTGGACACACTGTGCTTATGAATAGCTAAGCTAATGTTATTTCTGACATCTAGGGGAAGGCCTTGAGGGTATATGCAGGTAACCTCAGCTCGATTACCCTCATTCTCCCAAATGAAGCCATTATTTTTAAAAAGCTTCCACCCCTGCATAGCCCGTGGTACTAATCTAAAACTAATTGATTGGTGATTCCTTGGACCTAACACATAGGGGAGCTGCCAGTAGAATTTGAACAATAGGCCAAAAAAGAAAACAGGCCCCTTTATAAAAAATGGAAGCTATCCAAACTGAGAGCCCAAGGGAATTTTCTCTGTGTTTTTTATTTGGTCCCACTCGCCCAAATTAAGTTCTATTGATCTGATAGCAGAGTAATGACGCACATTTGACATCCCATTGTGAACGCTAGTGGGTCTATTGGATTGGCTGCCACAGATGACATAGAGAGGTCGGAGGGAAAGTCTTTACTCAACATGAAACACAATGGAATATAAAACGCAAAAACAGTGGGCAGATTATTACAGCATAATTAAAATGGTTGGTTCACCCAAATAACAAAACATATTTTCTTGTATACCCCTTGAGGTATCTAGCAGTTCAGCTATTTTTTGGGTGGGGGATATAGCTGTAGATTTATGTGACCAATACCAATACACATTTCATCACTAGTACAGTGGAGGTGAAGTGAATTTTGAAATATAACAATCAAATATTTCTGTGACAGAAGTTGCTGTCAGTTTTGCTCTGGAACTACTTAGAAATAGACTGGACTTACCCAATCATGCACATGAGCATAATATTCTTCTGTTACTTCACAAGCAATTTATCTCCTACTAGCTGACCTTTTGAATAGAGCCCATTTTGTAGACATAGATCGTTATAGGTCAAAGAGGAAATGCCACCCTCCACTCTCACTTTCCCCATCAAACTCACACCTTGAACAGTGGGTGAATTTGATCCCTGTCAAAATGATAATATCAGAGTTAACCCAGTGGAAAACTAAATAAGATTGCCAGGGCTGAGACTAGTCCTCTCTGACCGCTCAGAGTCAAAAGAAAAAATAACACCCAGGAGGTTAGATCCCAGACTAGCTCACCTTGGCCTGCTCATAACCTGCACAGTCATGATTAAGCATAAATCTGACCTTAGTTTTTCTGACTGTTTGTTTGACTGTCTTTCTGCAAGAGCTAGGGGCAACAGAGAGAGGTGGAATATGGTTAAGCATCGGACGATGGAGGTGGGGACAGAAAGAAAGATAGAAAGACAACAGCAACCATCATTAATTTCAATCAGGCTCCCAGTCTGGCAGAGTTAATAATATCAGCAAGGCCTCCTGACCTCAGATGATGGTACAACATCAACCCCCGCAAATTACTCATTAATTTACCCCATTAAGTTGGACAGAAGTGACGGGCAGGGGGAAAAAAAAACACTGATGGGAATGAATTAATTAGACATTTTAAAACAGAATTTATACTTTTTCAATTGAGATGTATCACAGCAGAGCGAGAGGTCAGGATGATAGTGGTGAGGATAGGAAGAGTGGGAAGAAAAAGAAATGAAGACAGCATACTGAAATTAATATTTTGACAGGGTCAATGTTGATGCAGTGGGAGAGGATGAAGATCATTTATGGATGAGAAGTTGTGTTTATGAATAACTAAAGAATATAGATTTCTACACTTGGATGTTTTTTCTCAGTTGTATTCATGCACAGAGCATTCTTACAAGAGGCAGAAACTCTGATTTTGTCTCATATTAAAGGTTCTTGTTTGTTCTGTAATAATACCAAGCCTTGCTCCTATTTCAAACGGATTTCAACACCCAAATTCAACCTCAAATCCTAAATAATAAACAAAATTAAACCAGCAATTAAACCAGGGCAGTTACTTTTTTTCTCCTTTGTACGACATCATTTTCTATTAGACGTATTGGAGATGAAAAGCAAAGATAATAAAGAAATAAATGGAAACTTTTGATATCATACCTCCCAAAGGCACTTTGGTCCATAGCAAACTCCTGCCCAGAGCAAAGCAGGGTCGTGGAAAGTAATCCAGTCTGAGGATATAGGCTGAGAATATATCCCTAGGGCCTTCACTCCGCTTACCATCCATTTTATCTCACTGTGTAGTGCAGGGAGCATTTGACATATTTTCAGTTTCTTTAAAGACTTGCCTTGAGATGATACATGAATCCTATATCGTCTCCTTAACACTGGCATGTTCGAAATGAGATGCAGCAAACCTCTCACCTGCCTCTATTCCTAAATGTGATTATGGGGTTCTTTAATATAGGAGCTAACACCTGTCTTGCCAACATGCATAACCCACCCTAAAGTAAATTCTGCACTATTGAAATGTAAATTTCCTACCTCATAGCTTTCTTTATCAAAAGAAATATGCTATACTTCTAAATAAGAAACAGAGTAGAAGACAGAAATGCCTGCAGGTCTTGAGAGGGTTTACTTTTACACGCTATGTATCTAGATAGACAGGCTGGGCCAAAGATGCACATTAATGTACACACACACACACACGACTCTCCAACTGGGTTGTTATCTATATGCAAAGCATCTCCACTAAGCCATCCACTTTGCTGCCGTGGATGAGACTGAGAATAATAGGCTCAGTCCCAACCCCAACCCTACTCCCCCACCCACACATAATCACTCACACCAGCATGCACAAACTGTATATACATGCCCACACACCACTGAACATATGTAGTTAGGTGTCTCAAATCGATAAGCATGTTCAACACACAGCCTCCCTGACCTATTCTTACACTGGCTAATTGCCAGGAAGAACAATTAGACAGATAAGTATCACTTAATGTCCTCCCCCAAAGAGGGAGATCCAGACTATTCTAAAACAAACGCACCTAATTCCTCATCCTGCTCCCTCATTATCTCTCTAAATGATGCTTCCATTGGAAAGCAGGTGTTGGTGGTGCTGTGGAATGATTGTTTTGTGAATGGTGGTTTGATGGGATTAGAGAAAAGAGGGACTGGGCTTAAGTCATGAATGGGGCTGCTTCTGGTAAGATAACTGAGCTACAGTGTACCAGTAATGAGGTAGAAGACACTTGCTTGTGACCACCTTTGCTTTGCTCATTAGTGTGTATTCAGCAGGTCTATGGAAGCCTGTGAGGACCAAAGTGCCCAGTGTGAGGTAATCTGGTGAACAACTTGATTATTATTAATTATCACTTAGAACTGCGGTGAAAAACGTCAATCTCAGAAACAACGTCTTAAAATGCCAATGAACTGTCATAGAATCAATTGTAAAATAATCACATTTAGAGAATACCCCTTTAACTCTAGATCCAGGAACGGAATGACCCATGTCACTGGACAACTCAGAGGAAACATCATCTGTCTTGCTACATTAACATCTATCCCCTTTATTAGTCTGCTGTTGGCATCCAACCTCACAATCTTCCTTACAGAATTCATCTTTGCTTCTTGGCTCACAGCTTCTGCTGGGCAGAAACACCCTTCCAGTAGTCCAAAATATCATGAAGGTCCTCGTCCTTGGCAAACTGCACCTTCTTGCGCAGGGCATGGCCTGCCGCTATATAAGAAGCTTCCTCTCTGGGGCTTTTCTTGTAAGGCCGGAATCGCTCCCAGATCCGCAGTGTGCTCTCAGACGAATACTCTGGACTGGAGGAGTAGCCAGAGTTGTAGTTGTGGTGACGAGAAGGTGAGAGCTGAGAGTAAGTGGCTGTGGCATCCCTCTTGGTGCGGCCCAGTGGCTTGAGGAATGAAGCCTTTTGGGCCGGTGAGGGTGAGTCGTTGACACCCTCATAGTAGAGTGCAGGAAAGGAGTGGCGGTGCTCGGAGCTGTGGTAGTCAGGCTGAACCTCCAAATGGTGCTGCTGCTGTCCAGGGCCAACCACCCCACCTCCACCTCCACCTCCGTTATTACACCCCATACCACCCCCATTCAAACTCACCCCACCACCATTTATGTTTCCCATCCCATTCCCATTGCAGCCCCCTACTCCACCACCTCCTCCACCTCCACCCCCTCCACTACAACCAACAGGGCTGCCTTTTTCTGTTGGATACTTGGGAGGATCGCTGCGCTGCTCGGGGATATCCACACTAAAGACCCTGGTGCTTTTGACGGATCCCACACCAGGGGCACCACAACGGTTCTTCACCACAGCAGTGTCCGCGCTCAACTGCCTCTGAAGGGGGCGCACTGCATTGGCTGGGGGTGGGTCACGGTAAGGAGGGGAGAGGAACCCACCACCGCTGATGCCTGGCCGCTCAGACAGGGGCATGACTAGGGGCACAGGTGCCATTGAAGGTGGATGGGACTGCTGATGTAGCTGAGGATGCGGCTGAGGATGCTGTTGAGGATGTGGCTGAGGATGTGGCTGAGGATGAGGCTGAGGATGAGGCTGAGGATGAAGTTGGGGGTGAGACTTTGGATGCACCTTTGGGGAGGAGGCCATGATTTGATCTCCAGGGTGGCCTGGAGAGAGGGGCAGGAGGTTTCGGGGGAGGGACGCGATGCAAGTTGGAGGCTGGGAGGAGGACACAGAGTTGCCATTGTCAACCGTGGTCACAACATTAGCAGAGGCATCCAGCTTCAGGGCATCAATGCAGTTGTTGATGATCTGGTTCACCTTGTCTACCTCCTTGGCAATGGTGGAGATCTCTGATGCTGAGCCACGGCCGTCGTCATCCGAATCCTCCCCAGCTGTCCCATTCTCAGCCCCACCTCGCATATCCAAAACTACTTCCCCTCCTATCCCTGCTCCTCCAGCTGCCACTCCTCCCTCTCTGCCTTCCACTGCCACTCCTGCTGTCCTCACATCCATGTAGTTGCCCTTGCCACCCATTGCCTCAGAGAAGGCAGAGGCCATTTTTTCCACCTGTGGCAAGGTGGAGAGGCGGGAAGAACTAGTGTTGGCTGAGCCGTGGAGCATGCCTGTGCTAGAGGAGGCAGAAGGAGGGAGCTTGCCTCCTGCTCCTCCTGAATGGTGGTGCTGGTGGTGAGCCTGCTCCTGGAGGCGTTGCATGGCACCTGGGTCGTTGGCCACTGCTGCAGCTGCCTCTGGGCCATACCTGAAGAGTGACAGACTCACTTTAGAACAAACAATACATCTTGTTTCTTTATCTTTTGTCATATTGTGTATATCCTAAACAACATAATTGCACAATTAAGTTTTTTTAATTATCTGTTTTAATAGGTCATCTCTGTGATGACATGGCATGACAAAGTCCTTGCTGTTCTAGTAAACAGCAAGGATAATGTATGGTTGGGGGAAAAAAAAAGGTTCTTGTTTGTAGTTAGATTAAATTAAGTTGTTCAGGACATTTCTGTTGTGGCTAAAACATCCCAGATGCAGTGTAGTAACTCTTTTTAACAGTTCAATGCCATGAACAATTGGTTGCAATGTGGCCCTTTATACTTTCATTAAGAAATATTAAAACTTGTCTTGTACCTCATCTCCAAAATAGTTTTCTTCACACTTATAGCTTTCTGCTTCTCTTCCTGGATGCGTCGCCGTCTGAGACAGTAATAAACAAATCCAAGCACAATGACCATGCCAAACAGACATCCCAAAATGGTCATGATGTAGTGGGTAGTTGTGGATGCATTGGTTCGCGGGTCCTCTGGCCCCATTGCTCGTGTGGTAAAGGACACACAGGTGTGGTTGTAGCGCTGAGATTTGCTTGCAGAAGCCACACAAAAAGTGTAATTTGTGTGTGGCTTCAGCTTGTCCAAGGTGATTATCTCCTTCTTGTTTTTAAGGGGCATGATGTCTGCAACAAAAGTCTGGTTGTACTGGGAGAGGATATACATCTTACTGTATGGTCGTGGGATCTGCACCATTAGAGAGGCAGTGTAGAAGGAGACAGTTTGAAGCCTCATAGAAATCTGATGGCTGTAGGTCGGTTCAGAAGTGGATGATATGGTTGGCTGGTGATACAGACGTTGGTCTGGGTTGTCCAAACCCATCCCTGAGCCATCTTGATCTGGTGTCTGGGAGGTCATCCCTGGAATTAACTCGCCATTACGACACATGGATAAAAGAGTGTAACGGGCATTTTTTCCGTGTCCAGGCACTGGACTCAGAAGTGGATAACCAGTCATTTCAAGAGGGGTTTCACACTGGAGGCGGTCGTAGGTGTGGGTGACATTGTTAAAAGCCTCCAACCAGGTGAGAAAGTTGTAGAGATCACAGCCACAGTGGAATGGGTTTCCTGCTAGTTCACACACCATCAGCCTGTTAAGGATAGTGAAGGTAGATGGGTCAAGACGGGCCAACTTATTAGAAGATAAGTCCAGGCTGCTGAGGCTTGGGCACTCCCAGAAGGCATTGGTGGCAATGACCTCAATAAGGTTGTGTTGCAAGAAGAGGCACTGCATTCGACCAAGACCTCTCAACATGCCCTCAGTCAGGTTGGTCAGCTTGTTGTAGCCGAGCTGGAGAACCTGAGACAGGAAGAGAGAGGTAGGTCATCGAAATTTTTGTTAAAACATGATATAACAAAAGTAATTGTTAATCATTTGCTTTTTTTTTTTAATTTTAAGATATGCTCTTACTGTAAAAGCTTCCATTGGATATGTTTTTTCGAGACTTAACAAATCATTCTGTCACATTTCTATAATTGTGCAAGTTGTGATTCAACAGTGATCTATGAACCAGTTATGAGAACTGAAATTTTTGGCTTGATGACTTCAGAACATATCCCAAGCTCAGCTTGTTTCAAAATATTTTACTGCATTGTATAACAAAAAATAAATAAATTTTTATTCGGTTAACTGAAGCATTAATGACCTTTTTCTTAAATTACAGAATACATTTAAATTAGTAACAAATACATAAAAACAGATTTGTGTTCTTGGCTGCAGACCTGTAGGTTGGCCTGTCCAGCAAAGGCCCCGTCCTCGATGTAACTGATCTCGTTCTTGGTAAGATTGAGGTCAGTAAGGTTTGTGAAGCGGAACATGGTGTTAAAGAGCACAGCCTTAAGTTTGTTCTCGTTCAGCCTCAGGTCATGAACCTAGGGAGACAAGATTGCAGATGACTTTCAGGTGATGCACTGCATCCTCTGGCAGTCATAGAGAAGGACCTAAACTCTGCCAAAAATACCTGACGAGAGCATGTTGCACTTCCAAACATACAAGTTTGCTGCCTAATGAGTAATTTCCCCAATTATACATTTGATCAAAATGTGTATTTAGTTAATCACAGCCTGTTTGCAAGCAGCTGAGCATCCCTCCTGAGATATCTAACAGAGGTAAATGCTGATGCTAGGAGTGGAATGTAGTTGCATGTTAATATTACCACTGGGTGCTTTAATAAATGATCTTGATGTTTTTCAGATTTATTCATTTACAAAACAAATTGCAGATAGTTACATTAATTAAAATACATGGCACTTTAAAATGTAGACAACATCAACCCACTACATACACAAATTACATTATATAATAAAACATTATGTAATTCAACTTGTCTGAGCATGTTGGAGATGTATGAAGAGGTGGATATATAGCTTAGAACTCAAGACCAAAAAGTGTAGTGATCTTAGACTGACTCATTTGGATGGTAAAGTGCAGCCCTGCGATAATTCTGTCTCCTGCAGCCTTTTATGTATGTACAGTTGGCTGTGCCAGCCATTCGTAGTAAGACGGCCAACAATTCTACAAAACAACTGTTGGTTTTTGTTGATGTATCTCTTCTATCTCACCAACTTAACCTATTTATCAATTATTTACTTTAATAATATAATTATAGCCACATTGCAATTTAGCTATTACTGCTGGTATTGTCACCATCACTGGAGACCCTAATATAACCTTGTAACTATATTTGATTAAAAATACGAGTTTTTAGTATTCAACATTTTTCAATTACAATTTAAATACCATTTACCACCATTGCCATGGTTAACATATCACAACCATCAGAATCACACAATAAACCATAAGCGAACAGAAGATTAGATTCACTTGCAGCTTTGCAAAAGTCACCGTCACGATTGATAGCATGTGCACTTTAGCTGACACCATCTTCTCTCAGAGTACATGAAGGCATACAGTTTAGTAGAGGTGGCTGTGGTGGTATGAAAGGCCTAGTAATAGAAAGTTTATACTGACCGTGCTGTTGATGTGCTGGGGGATGGTCTCATATGGAGGCTGGTTCTGACTGCAGATAGCCAGCCAAACGTATCCTTTATCCCCCTCTATCAGCCAGCAGTCCCCTTTCACCATGCCAGGCAGGTGGAGGAGCAACAGGGCAGGGAGCAGGAGGGAGAGAAACAGGGAGGAAGACAGGGAGGACAAATGGAGTGTGCTGGCCATGGTTTGGATTAGGGGTGTTTGAGGTTGCCTCAGTAGAAAGGAGGAAAAGAAAGGACTTGAAGGGAAGGAGGCAGTGAGCGGTTTTCAAATCAGGAAGGTTGCAGGTCAGGGGCAAGCAGGCCAAATCTAAGTAGAGAGAAAGGTGAACGGTGGGGCGTCTTCACGTGATTAGAGCTGAGCTTGCAGCATGGCAGCAAGTCCTGTCCCCATTTTAGGTGTTCCACGTCAAAGGGTTTTGGAGACTGTCACCCCAGCAACTACTCATGGCCCCTGACAACCGTACGTCTTGACAACACAGATGAGGAAATACTCCCTCTCAGAGAAAGGCAAAAAGGCCTATATAAGATAGAGATAGAGAGAGAGAGAAAGAAAGAAAGAGGGAGGGAAGAACATTAACATTAATAGTGATAATGACAAAATGATTAAGAGTAGGCAGAAAATTGTAATACAGTTCACATATCCCCAGATGGTTTTGAATTAATTGAGTTTAGGTCTCATTTCTACGAACACTGCATTAAGAAAAAAAAACAGGTATATGAATCTAATACCCATGCTACCCAATCCCTTCAAGGTAATGCACCACAGTAATAAATCCATTAACAGCCATGATTATTTCATTAAGTCTTAATAAAGCCCAGAGAAATATATTTTGACTTTTCAAATGAAGCCAGGCTTTTTATGTTCTGTAATTATTCATGTTCTTGAAAATAACAGCCTCGTATGAGAATAAATTGCAGCTCTTCCGTTCAGACATTAGCATATGATGCACCAATAGAAATGGAAATTGCCAAGACTATGAAAGCAACACCACTTTTCTTTAGTGATTTTGTCGTTGTTTACAAGGTTCGCCAGCTTGCAGCTGCATTTCTATTGTTTCAACTCTGAGGTACATAATGATACAGTGAAAATGTAATAGCTGCAGTTATATAGGGGTGAAAACGGGAATGTGGGCTAAGTGGAAAACAGAGGAGGGCTGTTGTAATTTGCATGTTTTAACAGGATACTAGCTGACATTTAGCTATTTACCTTTCTCAGGGGATTAACCGTGGATTAGGCTCTAATCCAGCATAAAATATTATGTATCTCATCACCACAGCTCTGACTCTTTTAATTTGTTTCCAAAGTTTTGATTCCCTCCCAGGGAAAAGTTATCTGGCCACAACATGAATGACAGAGACATGATTGTAAGAACATTGTAAGAACATCTCTCTCTCTCTCTCTCTCTCAAATTAAATGCCGCTATCACAGAAATAAAAATGTTTAAAGTCTGGTATAAAAAGCAGTGTGGAGTTTTGTTATAACTCACACATTTAAATTATATTAAGGCTTAAAGCTGTGCATAATTAAGTACATGGCCACTTTGAGTGTAAGGTGGGTCCAACCACCGGTAGGTGTTTTCAGTAATCAGGCTTCAGTCAGACCTTGTCAGCTCTACCCATGCTCCTCGTATTTGCCCATTTTTGGATTAGCCTGGAGCCGGCAAAGTCAGGACGTCGAAGATGTCCAGAGCTGACCGCAATGAGCTTCACACACTGGCTCTCTTTAGAAACCTATTTGTGACTATTTGTACGGCCATTTCTAATTATACAGTCTATTTGTGTAACCTAATTTACAGTAGTAGTAGTAATAACAAGATAATTCCCCCAGTATGGGATCAATAAAGTCTATTTTATCTTATTTTAATCTACTCAGGATTAATGAAAGCCAACTTTGGATGCTCTGTTAAACTGGCCATCTCTAATAGCCTGTCCTCTTCTTCCTCTTCCTTCTCATCCTCTGTCCAGACTTGCACCTTAGTTAGCCTCCCAGTCACTTCTCATTTCTGTTGCACCACACCCCGAACAGCTCTCAGTCCCCTCTTCAAATTGTTCCATCAAATTGATATTGACAATTCAATTCCTCCACCACAGGCCTTCAATTTGCTTTTGACCCAGAACTGTTGTCATCCTTACCTGTGTGTAAAATAAAACACCCACCAAAAAGCTATTTACGGCTTTAGCTCAGTGGAACAACAGCTAAAGTAACCTATTTTCACCTTGATAATTATGAAAATCATTAATGTATCGTATTATGTGTTGAGCTTTGAAACAGAGTGATTCCACTGATTTAACAGCAGCAAAGAAGAGCATGTGTGTGAATGTGAGCATTAGTTCATGGCAAATTGTGTTGAAAAGAAGCAAGCAAACTGAATTATTTATCAAACAAAGATGTGGACATTGATCATAACGATGGCCACACTTACACTGACACAGAAACGATCATTCTCCTTCTTTCATCCGATTGCTGAATTCCTTCTCTTCTCACTCTTTGAAGACAATTCCAAGTCTAGTTTTGTGATGTAGTGATACAATGTTTTCATTAGGGTTTAAGGGAATGTACCAACAAAGCCTCTGGCACACTCCTTGCAATTTAAGAAGATTTTGGGGGCCACAGAAACTTAATGGGCCGTGCTTGTAAATATGGGCTCCTGACAGGGAAAAACTGCAATGGTAATCACATCATATCTGATATGACGTGACTTTTACGGTATTTACTGTGCTCTACAAACATGACAGACGAGTCAGTCAAGACTAGTTGTTTTAGTCCAGGCACAACACCCAAGATCAGCAGGTGATCAGCACAGTATTTCTTCTTTATAATGCTGTAATGATCCTGACCATGCTACTCCAGTCTTATCATCTGGGTCAGTCTCTTGTCTCTCGCTCCATTTCTGTCTTTATCTGTATTTCTTCATATCTGTCTATTTCTTTGTCCTCTTTTCTGTCCATCTCCTTCTGTCTGCATAGTTTTAAGCCTGCTCATCTCTCGTTGCCTTTCAGCTAGAAATACAAATGAATATGCTTCATCGCCAAAACACAACCTGACACCTTTTGTGTGCTATCACATCCCATCCTCGCTGCTTTTATCACATTCTTGCCATTGGTTTTATTTTGACAAGAAGCCAGAGGAAGAGACAGCCTTATTTTTCCCTCCCCTTTCTTGTCCAAACCAGGCTCTCTTTGTGTTTAATTATTGTCTCTGATAGCTGGGCTTTAATTAAAGCTTTGCATCTGACAAACAACACTAATGATGTCAGGTCACAGAAGCAAATGGAAAGTTCCAAAAGTAAGACCGGGCGGGGCTGAGAGCCCATGAGAAAAAAAAAAAAATGTTGTCCTGAAAATTACAAGATAAAGTAGGATCAGTGATGCTGAAGTAATAATCTGAAGTCTTTTACTGTCTAGAATGTGGAAAAAGACATGTAGTCAGGATAATGAAAGCTTTAACATTAAAAGCTTTATATTATCAATTGATAATAGCCTCAGTAAAGACATGTCCACTTGCACAAAAACTAGAATGACATCTTTGGAAAATAAAGCAATTTGTTATAGAGCCAGCAGTATATATATATCAACATCACAAAACAACAGACACTAGAGAACTTTATTCATTGTCTCATTGATTGTTTAACTATATAAATACAATTCAAATATAATATAAAATTTAAAATTTGCCATTTGCCACAGGAACAAACTTAAACTCCTTAAACATTGGGAGGCTAGGATCAGCCAGTCACAGGCACTGTTTGATTGACGTGTGAATGTGGGAAAGTCGGTCAGTGCTAAAATATCACTCCAGTGAAGGGTTAGCATCAAAGTTTCCTTTTTTCTTCTCCTAAAAAGAGCAACATGAAGTTGTACAGTCTAAATTCCTTTTAACTGCCAAAATGACACAGATACCAACTAAATTAAATTGTACTGACACAGAAAGATAGTGCTTAAATTCTTCTCATCTCAGTAAAAAATTAACTCAATGACATGCTCTTCAACAAGACAGCTACAGCCACGCCAGCTGAGGGCGTAGTTAGGCACAGCAGTGCTTTGAGCTAAATGCTTACATGCTGATGATGAGCAGATGCAATGTTTACCATGTCCAGAAGCTTAGTTTAGCATGTTAGCAGGTAATACTTGCTAATAAGCCAGGATGAGGCCGATGGGAATGTCAGTTTTTTTTATCTTTAGTCATAAACCAAAGAACTGGAAAAATGGAAATTTTGACCCGAGGTGTGGGCAATTCATTAAAGAGGGATCAGTCTCTTAAAACCACAACTGTCTGAAATCCTGAATGATGAGATCATCAAATTGATGTCGAGATGTTTCACAAAATAAGTGAAAGGTCTGACTTGGTGGTGGTGCTTAAGAAATAGTCATGGGATTTCCAAAGTCACTGGGATTCATCCTCTGGGCACTATGGATGTTTGACAGTTTACGTATTTATCATCAAATGGCTTCACTGGCTCCAGTGTGTGCCCATTTTGATATTTCACATTTCATGTAATTCCAACCAGCAGCTTTCAAGATATAAGCCATCTTCCATATCATAAAACTAAACATTTAAGTTTCCTTGAGCAAAAATGGATAGAAATTTGCAAATACCTTCCAAATACTTAAGAATCACAATTTATTATTTTTAATTTATTATTCAAAATTCAATTTGATGCTCCATTTTCAGCCCAAGGGTGAACTATTTCAGCTAACATGAGTGAAGCATGGGGAAGTAAAGCCCTGGAACAGCGGATTGACTGTAATCTGTATTCTAGCGATGTGTAAACCTTTGTAGAGATATATAGTTTGACTGTTTGCTTGCTCGCTCACTGCCACCTTCCTTTGCTTGCTCATTGCCACCTTCCTTTTCTTATCTATATTAACTGAACCCTTACCCTTTCCATCCATGACACAGCTACAGCTAGCCTGATTGACAGCACAATCTAACTGAAAATAGGAATGATGTTATTAAATTAAGTTTCCAGAGGAAGTTTAAGATGAAGTAAAACCTGAAAAATGCACTAAAGTGACTGTATTGAATTGCGGAAAATTAATTCCACCATTTGCTTGAAGGTAGCATTTAATTGAGTGTTAGGTATGATGATGCGGTTTCAGGGATAAGGTTAGGATTGCATTTAGTTAGGGTATGGGTTGGGATCACAAATTCAGTGATTATGGTTAATATAAGCCTCAGGGAAAAGAAAATATTAAAAAAATGAAAACTTAATGTCTTCATGAGTTTAAGTTGGTCTGTGTGTCCTGTCTCTGCCCAAAGTCTGAGCTGCAAGAATTGTGATGTTCACTAAAATCTTGTGTCTGCCCAGAGTCTGAGTTGCAAGAGTTGAGAAGGGGGCAATAAGAAGGAACACAAGAGTAGTGCAGCTACCCCGGAGACCAGGTCATTAACCTTTTCACTGAGTGAGAAAGAAAGAAAGACAGAGACAGGAGGCAGAAAGCAGAGACAGTACAGATAGAGGGGAGTGCTAAGGAACATGACACCAAACAGATTTTCCCACAGTTTGTCAGTGAACC